TGGGTTGGCCCTGAATGCATCCTTGGCCAACCCATTTTGAACTTTCCAGGCAGCGCGCGAAAATAGCATCCGTAATTGGCGGTGTCATTGCCGTTCTCCCAAGTTGAAGAGCGAAGTTTCCTTGAGGACGATGCGAGCGATCTGTAGCCATGTTAGTTTACACGATTTTCCGATAACGCCATGTTAGCATTTCGCAATCCGTCTTAAGCCGCTGTCACACAGCACTTTTTCCGTCAATTTCTGGGGTTCCGTCTGAATCTGAGGCTTTCCGCTCCGTTTGACTAATTTCCGTGTTGATCTTGTGCTATTAATAAATTGGATAGGATGAGTGAATGTAAACATAAGCTAATATTTTGGAACATTCGTATATACAATATACATCATCATATTTCTTTAGAATAACGTAATATGTATGAGAATGTGATTCCCGGGACCTCACTCGATAACGCCATGTTAGTTTACACGATTTTCCGATAACGCCATGTTAGTTTACACGATTTTCATTACGGAGTTCATTCGGAAACGAAAAAAAAAATGACGGAAAAAGTGCTAGTATGAAAGGGCCTTAAAGAAATCATTTCCGGAGGAGGTCGAAGATTCCTAGCTGAGCTGGAGCAGGATGGCCGGGACGTCTTTTGTATTACGTGGAAACCATTATGCTCGAGATAAAAACAAGACTAAAAGTAATATTTCTCCACTTTGTTGGCGGGGAACTGTCTCCCTTACCCTGTTATCAGTATGATAGCACTTTCTTAAACGCTGCGGTATTGACCTGTTTCCTGCTAAGTAATTGTCCGTTATCAACAAGGACAATTTTTCTCTTACTCACTACCAACCTGTTCCCACGCCCTGCCATGAAGATATACTCTGCCAACATACTGTTATCAATGACACTACTGAGAAACTTGTGATGATAGAGATACTCGTCTTGGCCATAATATCCACATATGTAGCTGTCTGACCTGGGTGTTGTGCTTGAGGTAACTTGCCACAGACTAATCCCAACTTGCTGATCATAAAGAGATTGTTGCGATTTGTATTTTATTAGATAGTAATTGGTCTTGAAAGAAAATATATAGCTTGTAAGCTCATTTGCCGTTAAAGAATGTTACATGGAAGGGTGTAACTATAATGACAAAAATTTAGAATATAGGGTTCTCTATACTGTTACCTTACGAAGAGACGGATCGAAACAAACTGCTCGTGATTGAAGTCCAATATTGGCTCTTGGCCGGACTGTAATGGAAGTTGGAAAGAATGACATCACCGCAAGATTTGATTCGGACAGCGACTTCCTACGGACATCCGAGGTCGGGTGTCTGGCTTAAGTATGTGGCTTTAGCACCTACCGCAGGCCTCTTAGAAGACGCAACAGAAAGAAGATTCCGTCCTTAGGATCTGACCTGCTGGACGTGTTTCGAGCGTCGAGCCTCATTTCCAGGAGCCACAAGCCCAGGCTGTTGCCACACGCTCAGCGCCCTTTCTTACCACACATACGACGGCCATTTCAACCACATGAAATCCTTTTAATTTTAAGGCCACCGGGAGGCAGAAGCGCGGGGTTATCATTACGAAAGGGGCCATGAGCGCCTCGCATCTCGCCTCGTTTCCGTAGTAACCAGGTGAACGCGCGTGCGAGGACTGCCAGGCGCCGCCCCGCCCTGCTCGTCGCCGCCGCCGCCCTTCGTGAGCACTGCTTCGGGGTCGAGAGTTAGGAAATCGCTCCGTGGCAGAAGGGATTAGGGGCCCGACCGAATCATCGCCGGCGAGGTACGATGCCGGACGTTTCCTGGTTAGGAATACGTTAATGCAGACCTTTCGAGGAACGGCGGTTGTCATGGCGACGCTCAGCTGATGAGTGCATCCAGGAGACGCGGGGGAAGGCTTGTACATATTTGGCATTGGCTGCCGACCTTAGCGACGCTCGGAGGGAGAGGACGTCTCGCGGCGGCGGGATGCCACGGGGATGAATGGAGGGCGGGCGGGGAGGCTGCCGGGGGGGGGAGACGGAGAAGGAAAGTGGAATGTATATTATGTAGCTGTATTTAAACACACACATGCGCACACACATACACACACACACATATATATACACGTATAATATATATATATATATATATATATATATATATAGATATATATATATTTATGTATATATATATATATATATATATATATATATATATATATATATAGATAATAGATAGAGATAGATAATATAGATATTTATATATGTATATATGTATTTATATAGGCATATATATATATTTTTATATGCATAGATATTTTGTGTGTGTGTGTGTGTGTGTGTGTGTGTGTGCACTTACTTGCTTGTGTGTGGGCGTGTGCTTGTATGTCTGTATGTATACATGTATATATATATATATATATATATTTATACACACACACACACACACACCACACACAATATATATATATATATATATTATATATATATATATATATATATATATATATGCACACACACATATCTATATCT